ACTGTCTACCCCTCTCTCACACACACACACACTCTCTCTCCCCCCTCTCGGTCTCTCACACACTGTCTCCCTCTCTCCCCTTCTCTGAATGTCTGTCTCTCTCTCACACACACACACACACTCTCTCCGCCTTCTCTGTCTGTGTCTCTCTCACACACATACACTCTCTCTCTTAACCCCGTCTCTCTCTCACACACACTCTCTCTATCCCCCCGTTTCTGTCTCTCTCACACACACACTCTCTCTCCCCCACTCTTTCTCTCACACACACTCTCTGTCCCCCTTTCTGTCTCTCTCACACATACACACACTCTCTCTCTCCCCCCTGTCTCTCTCTCACACACACATTGTCTTCCCCCCGTCTCTCTTGCACACACATACTCTCTCTCTCTCCACCCCTCATGCACGCACTCACTCTCTCTCCCCCCTCCCTCATAAACACACACACACACGTACAAATGTGAATCTATTTTCTTCAAAAAGCATGCAAAATGTGGCGTTTTATAAATTCCTGCTTTAGAAATAAAATCGGTCTGATTCCAAACCAAAACATAAGTAGATTCTAAACAAGGCCTTACGTCTAACATGCATTTGCTGACCTAAAATGTCACCTCTTCTTTACATTGATAAAATCTTCAGTTTTCTCAGGACACTGAGGATTTACATATACAAATTAATCACTTAAAACTTCTCACTAATTAAAGATTTAACAGCATCTTAGGTTTGTTTAATACATCGTCATCAGTGGTGTGACCCTTGGACCTTTTACTTATAAATTCTGTATCTGATACTACCTCTCTCACTAACGCCTGAAGGAGTAATGCTCCGATCACTTGTGTTTTCAAATAGACCTGTTGGACTATAACCTGATGTCATGTGATTTCTGACACTGTCAAAGACAACTTCCATGATTTTACTGACGATCGAGCATAGACTGATGAGGTAGTAATTGGGCAGATTTAATTTGTCCTGTTTTTGTTTTTATGGACAGTACATATTTGATAAAATCTACTATATTCTCAGGCACTTCGCAGTGCTTCAGATATACTGGACTAACTTGGCTGGTTCTTGAGAATTTCAGTGCTTTGGCTGACAACTTCTCAGGGCTCATAGTCTTTTCTATAACCAGTGCCTTCTGCCATTTCTTTAACATAGAGTGAATTGAAATTAGCTGATGATTGGCATCTGTGATGTTAGGGATAATATGATTGTGTCAAAGTGGATCATCCACTCTGCCCATGTGGCCCAAGCTTATAGCAAATACTTTAGCCTTGTGTTTTGCACTAACGTGCGGGATCCTTCTGTGTTAAGGATGCAGCCTCCTCCCCCGATTAGTTAGTTGAACTGTCCACTCACGCTTGTGATGGTTTGTAATATAATTATAGAGTTTTGCTTTGATCGATTGGTTGCAGGAATTCCTTTCCTGGTCTTATGCATTGTGCTTCTGCTGCTTAACATTTACCTCTTCCTCTGTACTTGTTGTACTGTGTTGGCACCTCATTTTCAGCATGTATGGTGTTATGACCTGTCATAATACTGTTATTTAGAAACTTGTATTCTAAAGTAAACATAACCATGTATAGCTTTAAGTTTGATTCACATTTCTATACTGTGTGGATTAAGAAGGGGAGATAGTTTTAGCTTCATTTTGAGTTCCATGAGTGGTGATTTGTTTACATTCACTTAAATGAGGTTTTAAATAAAAATGGTTTAGTGCTTTAGAAAACAAGTTAAAAATGAGGAAAATAGTTGGGCTATTGCCTAGCAACAAGATATCCAATGGCTCAGGGAGAGGAACAGAAACAAGTTTCATTTTAGAAAGAGACGCAGAACCATCTGTGCACAGATTTTTTTCATAGAGAAGCAGGTCAGTTAGAGACAAAAGGCTGTATCAATGCAGTGCAAATTACCGGTTCCCAAAATAATCAAGGCAGAAGAAATGAAATGCTTTTTAGACTTTAGTAAGATAAAAGCTCCAGAAACAGAAGACTTTTAAGATGTCAGGTTGCAAACCTCCTACAAGACTGCCAAATGCGTCGATTTAAAGGAACACATTAAGGAGAGTGAGTTATATTAGCTTAGGGGTTTCAAGATTCCTTAGCTAAAGAAGAGAACGTCTAGAGCTAAAGAGAATGCAGAAGTATGCGAAAACACCAAATGCAGTGTGCCTACTGAACAAGGAACTTTAATGATTCTTCAGAAGTTTGTGTTTTTGTAAGGTTGTTGACAGTAAGGGGGTTGAATCTTTATTTCCGATATTCACAACAAGATTTCTTGAAATAGTTTCAATATGGTGTAAAACAGTTTATTTTTTTCCCTTTTGTATATCTTTTGTTAAAAGCACATTGGTGGTTTGTGAAAATGTTCCGTGACTGATCATCATGGTAAACAAACCGTAAAATCCAAGCTTATGATCTATCAAGCTAGATTTCGCCCTGATAACTGACTTGTCCCATAGCTGGGATCATTACAATAATCATTCTCCTGGCATGCTTTCCTCACTGACCCTCTTGACTTGATGATAAATGTTATATCAGGCCAGTAGGTTACAGGTTGTGGTCTGACTAGAATCTGCCTCTTCTGTTCTAGCTTATCTTTTCCTCTTTGTTTTCTTCCTTTCTCTGTCTTTCTCTGAGTTTGTCTATATTCTCACTTTATGTCCACTGCAGAGTTCTCATTTTCAACTCAGCTTGCATGACAAATCAAAATACTTTGTTGAGGAAATTTTAACAGGGAATGGAAGGTGTCTTGCGGTCTCTGCTGAAAGTTAAGTCATCTAAAAAAGTGTAATTTGGGTCCTGATTCTGATATTATCCCATTTGCATCCATGTTTTCCCATTGGGTTTGTGGAGAAGCGGGGAACTCCCTTAAAGCTGCTGGACAATCGTTGTCGTATACAAACAGATGATTACTAACAATTATAATTAACCATGCTGGCCTTAACAGCCAACTCACCTATTTCCTGTGTTGCCAACAGCTTAGTCAGCCCGACGAGTAAACAAATCGGAATGTTTCTTGAGGTGAAACTGACAGGCTGTAAAAGGGCTTAAATATTGTAACTGAAGAGCTTCAGCTATGCCTAAGTTAAAGGCTGGTACTTTCAGCACTCCTTTTGAGGGTGCGCTTTTACTGCTTGACAGGTGATTTCCAACTTCATGAAGGTCGATTCAGCTGTCCAGCAGGACTTGTTCAGTCCAAAATTACTATAATGACATACCATGGGAAATTTCTTAAAAATATGAAACTTGGACCCTGGTTAAAGCGGTACTAAAAAATCTTCACCTGATTGAAAAGTTTTGTGAAATGTAAAGAAAGGAGTTTTTTTTCTGAAAAGTGTATAACATGCTGTTACCTTACGTTGGAGAGAGTTGTAACTCTTTTTCATTTTTAGATGGATCCACATGAAAACATTCTCCTGAGCACCCTTGAGATTAAGAATGAAATGAGTGTTGCTGAGATCACAATGGGTATCACTGATCCCAGAAGTACCATGATGCCATATGACAGCTCTGGAATTCAGTATAGGAAGGCAGGATTGTCGAGGCACAACTTTGGAAGGAGTGCCTTGGAAAGACACGTGGCCCAAAAGAAGAGCAGGCTAAGAAGGCGTGCTTCCCAGCTGAAAATTAACATTCCTGATTTGACTGATGTGAATGCCATTGATAAATGGTCACGGATGATATTTCCTCTTGTTTTTGGATTCTTCAATGTGATCTACTGGTTGTATTATGTGAATTAAGCTGAAGAATGTGCACAGACAGTGTCTTTCCACACTTTTTTTTTGTTTTGCAACAAGGTGGAACCATCATTTTAAAACTGAGATTGTTCAGGACAAATTTTGCATGCACTTTAACTCCTTAATGGCTGGCTGTATTTGAACTCTTCATTGCTTTATTTATGTTAATTGAAACTCTTTCTTTACTGCTTATAGTTGCCTCTCGCACATTTAAATGCTGGAGGTCACTTTTTATCTTGCTTTAATATATATGCAGCAGACCAGTCTATGTTGATATCACATTGAATATTATATTAGTTTAAAAGAATTGAATTGGAATGGACCAATTGACGATGTTACTAAGTTGTAATCTCACATTTGAGAAGAAAATCATTCCTTCTGAGTTTTCAGTTGATGATTAAGTAGTAACTGTAAAAATATTTTACTGTGATTTTAAGCATCTTCAAGAACCAGTATTACTTTATCAAATCAGCTTCCACTCTAAAAGCTGAGGGGTAATATTTCATGCAGGTTGATTAAGAGCTGCTATTAACATAAACAAAATATTATTACTGTTCCTCTGAAGTCACAATGATCCAAACTTTAAAGTAGACCAGCAAAATCATTTAAAAACTAGAATTGCAATGCCACATTTGTTTCTTGTAGATCTTGTAAAATTGCCTCAAATCCAATTCCCACAGCCATCTTATATTGCATATAGAGTGTTCCAATTGGCAGTATCAATCCTGTTAAAGATTTGCATTTATAAAAATTACATCATTAACAAATTTAGAATAACATGGAAACATTTTTTCTCCATTGCCGAGTATAGAATGAAGAGGTGATCCCATTCATTCCTCATGCATACTAAGGAACAAATAATAGTAAATGACAATGCTACAAAAATTATGACCGAGTGGTAAATTACAAGTGTTACAAGCTTTTTGGAGCTGGTGAATTACCAACTGGTCCTAAATCATAGGAATCTTCATTGTGATAACAAATAGGTGTTTAACTTTTTGCCAAATATATATGTAAAAATGTGCTTATATCCTTCATGTGAAGATTATCATTGACTTTGTAAGTCAGGAGCCAGGGAAAACAGACAAAAGCACTGCTTTCACACATTTATTCGTGCAACTTGGTAAAAACATTCTGATTTGTACCTGCCCTAATGATCAATAGAAGAACATTTTTATTTGCTACTCTATTATGCAGTATTTAACAATGAGGACCCTTATAGTCCAGCAATACTCTGCACTCTTGCCAGAGACAAGGAACAGGACTTTCCTGACTCTGGGATGGTGGGCTGAGAGGTGTACGAGATAGCAGGGAGCCACTTTGGGAAAACTTTCTGACGTAGTTCCTCTGTCAGGAAAATTACCTAGTGGTGGACTAAATGTGGATCAGCAGCCTACTGAATGGAGTTAGGCAGAAATTTAAATAATTAAAATTAAGGGATATTTTCCAGGGCCCCACCCTGTGGAGAACCTCCAGCTTCATGGAGGTGATCTCCCTTCAGCCACCCAGGAGGTCATTACAGTTGGAGGCTGGAGAGGACAGACGGCAGGGAAAGCCACATCAATGGGCTGTTGGAGAGACCTACCTTTAAATTTGTACTTACCTCGGAAGGAAGCTTCCATCTTGGGGTGCTTTCTTGATCTTTAGTGTTTTTCAGCAAAGTTCACCTCTTTCATTAGAGCTGCCAAAGCTTTGCAGCTGCCCTTTCTTTACTGGACCAACAACATCTATATCCCACCCATTGAACAGTGAACCTGGAGGTGGTCAATTAGGAGGTGTCTACTGGCACTGAGCAAGTTCCACTGCCAGCGAAGTGCAGGCTCAGTTCCTCATTTGGTCCAGCATCAGGGACCTGAAGTAGATGATAAAATCCTATTCAATTTAGAATCACATCAACATTGTATTTTAGTGATTTGTAATTGGTCAACTCATTTATATTGTTCATTTTTTAATTAGCATATCCTTTGTACTTATTCCAAAGTAACAGATACTGTAGTGGTCTCTAATCTCGCTATGACCATCATTCTGCTTTTCTCCTAAGTAGTTTTATATAATATGGTAAGTATATTTGCAGAATGAATTATGACAATAGGGAAATATCTTTAAGTCAAAGGTGAACATTAAGCTTTTTTTTGAAGTTATGACATCCTTTTAAGGTGGGATTAATTATTATGGAATTGCTCTGAAGAGGACAGTTTCAGTTCAGTTTTGTTTTTAAGTTTTAAATGTGTATTAAGTATTGATAAGATTGTGTTGGAAATACTTGGTTATAAACCGTATCATCCCTGAAGTATAAAATGTAAATTAATTGTCCAATTTGTATATCATTCTATAAGAACCATATCAAAAATGTAAATTCGTAAATTTAAATTCGTAAATGTAAATTCAAGAGGGCATTATCCAGTGAAGTATGTTTTTGTAGTCAAGATTATCATATACAAAGAGACAATGAGATTGAACATACCATTTAGGTTGAAAGAGAGAACGGAATGATATCAAAGCATGTCTCTTTTCTCCCTCATGACCTAAATTAGAATCTGAAGTAACCACTTCAGAATAAGGACAGAATGGTGCACCTATCACACGAGATTTGATTTTCAGCCCTCTATTGGAATGAGATTGGGATTGGGTACACAATTTGAAAATAATGTTCCCAGATGATGTGTCAGCATCCCAATGTCTGCAAATGGGGCAGAGATGAAGCTGGCCTCCAATTAAAAGCCCACTTAGCGCTCTGTGGAGATGGTAATCAGGCTGGGAGAACCAAAAAGTTATTTTCAAAACACAGATTGAGAAAACAAAACAGCCCAATGCCTTTATTGTATATGTGTTAAGCATAAAGCCAGGAAGCATTAAGCCTACTCTTGTTAAATAAAAAAACATTTTAGGGAAAAAAATGGATAATTCTCAGAGTGAATTTAGTGCTTTTTTTTCTTGCCGTCTAATTTCCTGCTACTTTTATTCTGCAAGATAGTGACAAACCCAGGAATACCACTATTTGTTTTTCAGTATTGGCCTCTGGAATGAGTTCCCACCTCCTGGGTCATTTACAGTCACTAACTGCCCCTCAAGCTTGACTCCAATACAATTACTTAATCTGCTTTCAAAGATGGCAAGGGTTTGTGTCCCAGAAATGCTCTGGGCATCAGGTTCCCAACACCAGATTGAGCTTGGCCCTAGCAAATACAGTGGTAGAATGAATGTCCTTCTTTCATTGATTTAAATTGGTTACAGAGCACAAGGATACCTTTCAGGTCCACATGTCCTTGCCAGCTCTCCAAGCATACCCTTTCTTGTCAGCTGGATTTTTTTTTGTTGTATGCTTGATTTAGAGATTTTAATAATTCTCCAGCGATACATGTCTGGGAAGCTTCTAGTAGTTCCTAACTGGATACATTCTCTCATTTTCATCAGTGTTTCCTATTTCCAAATGGAGCCAGCTATTCAGGCGTTGTGTGTCTTGATGAAGCTTCTCAATACATTAATGCAATTATTCAGATTGTATTGTGTTTCACAATAATCTGTAAATACACATAGTTGTGGATAGGTAGTGATATATACTTTCAGTTATAGTGCAGATTCATGCAAATTTTTGATTTGATTTCGATACTTTATAAATGTTTACATAAGGGATGCTTTGTGTTTTTCTTTGAAATTATCAGGACTAAAATAGATTGTATTTAGATAGATTCTGACAGGTTTTTAAGTGTATAAAAGAGCATTAAACAAACATAAAAAGAGAGACATTTTGCTACATTGAGACAACCATGTACTTAATGTAAATGCAAGTATTTTTCTTGAACTTTAGGATGTGTGCATACAACACAGTTCTAATTTTTGCACACAGTAAACTTGATATGGTTGGCAAAATAAACACAGCAGCTAAAATTGCACACCAAACATTGATGAGGCAAAACATGAATTGCTCTAGCACGGAAAGCTGCATTACCTGCTCATAGAATGCATATACTTTAAATGCAACACATTATTAATCTTTGCAAATGGTAGTTTGTTTTAAAAATAGCCCTTCATTCAAAGTGAAACATATCACAATATGGTTAATTAAGTTAAAATACCCAAATGTTCCATATTTGAATCATTTTGTTAATATAATCCAAAAGAACTTACTACTCAAATACGGTTTGGAAATATTTCCAAAGTGCCAAAAATGCAATTGGAATTCTTTAATCTGAGATATTTGCCTTCTGTATTAATTCACAATTTGGCAGATAGTTTTTGTTCTGAGTCAGAAACTGCCTAATGCAGATATATCTTCAGTTTGTATACAGCTAATTTGCTACACTGTGTTTTGATCAAATACCATTGCCTTAGTCAGTTACTTAGTGTATGTGACAAATCTACAGCAACCGTAATGGCTTGAAGAAAGAAAACATCCTTCGTGTACTTTTGAGACAGGGTTTTGATCTTTTCCCCCAAGTATGAGATACATTTTCCAGTCATTAGCACAATCAAAATTAGGCACAGATGTAAACAATAATTTGGTTGGCAACATTTCATCAGCACCTTGAACTTGGTGAAAAGATGCACTGCTACAAATTCTAATATTCTGTGAATCACTAAACTAATCCTAAACATTTTAATAGAGACTATTATGCTTGGTAGATAGAGGGAAAAAGTGTGAAATTTAGATAGGAAAATTAAGTTTTGAAGGAGACATAAGGAATCTGAAAAGAGGCATGCATAAATTGAATGAGTGGGCAAAACGTGGACAGATGGAGTATAATGTGAAGAGATGTGAACTTGTTCAGTTTGGCAAGAAGAATAAGAAACTATTGAATCCTTTAAGTGGAAGAGTTTGCTGAACTGAGGTACACAGAAATCTAGATGTTCTGGTATATGCATCACAAGTTTGTACATAGGGACCACAAGTGATTATGAAAGCAAATGAAATGTTGTCATGTATTTCATGGAATGTAAATATAGAGGTGTTCTACTACGGTGGACTGGGCAATGGTGAGACCACATCTAGAATACCATGTGCA